CACAAAGTGGTTTAAGAAATGGTTGTAGCAATATGTCAGCACAAACATGCCAGGGATTCAAGCTGGAGTCACAAGGGGGCGTAGAATGAGGGTATCATTGTTGATGTTACATGGCTCTTGGCTGAAAACAGAGAGTACCAGAGAGATAATTACCTGTGTTCTGTGATCTATACAAAGGCATTTGACTGTGTGGATCATTAAAAGAAATATTAATAACATTGTAAAGAATGGGAATTCCAGAATACTTAATTGTCTTCATGTAGAACAAATAAGTAGAATAAGAAACTAACCTCTAAACAGAATAAGGGAATACTGCTTGTTTTGAAAATCATAAAGATGTTGGTCAGGATTGTAAACTTTTACCATACCGTGTGTTGAGCAAATAATTCAAAAATACGTTCATTATTAAGACTACTTAATACTGAAGACACACTATGCACCTACATATGCTGATGACACAGCCTTGCTAGCAGCAAGCGAGGAAGACTTGAAGCGTTTAACTGATGAAGCTTAAAGACTGTCTGCGTAAAGCCCTTGAGGAGCCAAGGAACTCCTGACCTGTTGACTCGACTTGGCACCATGTAAAGGATAGGGCTGAGTGAGGACACAGAGAGGTTGCGAATGCAGGGAGAAGTGTGGACTTCTGAGTTTACAGCAGATGCCATTTAGACCTAGCCACAGATAGATGGCCCAACCAGATGAAGGGAAGATGATCCCTGCTGTGAACTAGGGTTGATTGCTGCAACCTGATGGCTTGCTCAGGGCTGGATAATTCTTATGGATGTGGATGCTGAAGGCTTCCAAGTTGAACAGAGGATCCAGCAACACAAAGGTCATACTTGTTTCTTCAGAGAACTGGTTTAATAGGGAAGGGCAAATCAGCAATCGGCTGTCTAAAAGGGAGATATTAGAGCATGAGGCATAGAGTAGCTGGCTTCCATGCTTTCACATAAGTTGTTAGTGGGATGATTATAAAGAAGGAACAAAAACTCCCACAATAGAAATGAACAAACTAGAGTGTAAATGAGCACATTGCACATGCATGAAGCACAATGTACATGAAGACTAAAAATAGTGACAAAAACTTTAAAAAGGGAGAAAATAATGAGGTTATTGGGGGAAAAGAGACTAGACTTAATTATCAGTTATACGTCAGCATAATAAAATAAAAATCCTCACAACTGGATTAATAAGTGAAATCCCAATAAATGGAAAAAGATTGAAGTTGTGAAGAATTTAATTTCACTTAGATTCATAATCAACACCCATGGAAGCAGAGTCAAGATGATGTGAAAATATTTATTGGGCTAATGTGCTGCCCAATGTGAAGAACCTCTTTAAAGTGCTAAAGAGGAAAGATGTTACTTTGGGGAATAAAGTGCATTCTGACCCAATGTAGTTCTCCAAAGCTATTGACTTGTCAGTTCCCTAAGTACAAGTGAAGGCTGGAAAATGGTAAGAAGACCAAAAAATCTGATAGCCTTTGAGTTGTGCTGTTAGTCATGAATATTTTACATACCATGGATTTTCATAAGAACAAAGAAATCTCTTAGAAGTGCAGCTCCTTAGAAGCAAAGATGGTGAAACTGAAAAATGGCCAGTGCCTATAGCAAAATATTATGCTTAACAAAGTAGAGGGCCAGAGAAAGGGGGAGAGCCCCTCAAGGAGATGGATTGGCGCAGTGGGTACAGTGGGTTCAGGCACAGTAGCAATTTTCAGAATGGTAAAGGACTGGCCTATGTCTTGCAGATGGTATCCAGCTTGAAGGTACTAGAAACCACAGAGCCTCTGCATTTCAGGACATCAGGAACATCCTTGATGTCTGATCATTGGAAATAGTACTTTAAATCTTCATAACTGAGTCATTTCTCTCCCTTCCTCTCCCCCCTTTCCCTCACCCCAGACCACTCCCTCTCCCCTTACCCTCCTTCTCCTTTCTCTCCCCCCCCTCCCCTCTCCCTTTTCCCCTTTGCTTGTGCGCTCTTTATGTCTGTCTGTCTGTCTCTGCCTTTATTGGTTTATTCGTCTGGAGAGCCCAGCCTGAGACCAAGTGAAGCTCTATACTAGACTTTCTGTATGTAGAGCTGAGATGTAAGAAATTCTTGTGTTCTGGGGAAGGGTGCTTTGGAGAATAAAAACAGAATGATGTGGACCATAAATAGGTCTTGCAACATGAGCATGTAATTCTCCTGCTCAGAATTCTTCAAGTGGTTCTCTATTGCCTTCAAAGCCCTAGGGCTTTAGAAGAATTAAGTAGCTTTACAATGTCCTGTAGCAAATATGAGGAAGATCTTGGATTCAGACCCAGGGCTGAATGATGATAACAACCATGTTTATAATTGTTAAGCTCTGTTGCTTTCCTCAGAGTGAGAAGCCAGTCATGTGTTGATTTCCCACTCCCTCAGTCTTTAAGGAAAAGAACATAGTCTTCTCTTTTGCCCTTACTTTTGTTTCCCCTCCCCTCCCTTGTACCTTAACATAGAGCGAAGCAATATTCCTTACAGATACCTAGGCTTTTGCACATCCTGAAGTGCTCTCTCATCATGTTTGTAATCAGGATTTCTCATCTTTCTCGAAACCTCTCTTTACCACTTTCTGCCCTAGATTGCATTGTAACTTCTTCCTTTCTGCTGCCTGTTGAGGTTTGTATCTTTGTACATGGCCATCATTTTCAGCCAGCCAGGATTGGAGTCACTAATTCCTCTGTGCTCTGAGAGAAGTCTATGCATACATTGATCTTGGCTCTTTTTATGATTTCTGTGTAGTAATTTCTTTGTTTGAATATTTCCCTCTCTCACACTTTAAATCATTGAAAGCTCAAGCTTTATTTTCACTTTTATCTCAAACACCAAGACTAGTACTTAGCATGCACTTTACCTTTTTATTTAAATGTAGAATGTTATTATGTCTCAATTAAATGTAGAATGTTAGAGTTATAACAGTTTGGGTTCAGTAACAAGTGGAAAATGTTGAACAATGTTAGTTCACAATGAAAAAAAATTAGTGATTATTATTGTTGTGTACCATAGAGTCAGAACTGACCCATAGCTGGCCCTCTGGTGAATTTTCAGAGGCATTTAATCACACAGAAGGAGATAACCCATCCTTCTCCCGCGGAGCAACTGGTGGTCTCAAATCATGTACCTTCAGAGTAGCTTCTTGCCTCTAGGCCACCAAAGCTCCCTTAGTGACTATAAGAACACCTTTTTTTTCCAAAAAAGGGTGCTCTGGTGGCCTAGTGGAAAGGAGCTGCAACTACAATCCCAGAGGCACACGGTTCGAATCCACCAGATGCTCTGCCGGGGAAGGAGGGCAATCTCCTCCTGTACCAGTCAGATCTGATTTGATGGTGCACTCACACAAAAATAATAAAATAAAAAAAATTAAAAAAACAAACAAACAAAAAAAGAAAACCACACCAACCGAAAACATTAAAGGAGCCCTGGTGATGCAATGGTTAAGTGCTCAACTGCTAACTGAAATGTCAGTGATTCTAACATATTAGCTGCTCTGGTAAAGAAAGACTGGGGACTCAGTTCTCAGAAAGAATGTAGTGTGAGATAGTTCTGGTCTTTTCCAGAAGGTGGAATTGAGCCAGAATCAACTCCGTAGTGCACATTATTGTTGTGTGTTATCAAGTCAGAGCTGACCCATAGTTCACCCTCCAGTGGGTTTTCAGAAGTGGTCAAATGCACTGGAGGAGAGTGCCCATCTTACTCCCCCAGAGCATCTGGGGGACTCAAACCCCATGCTTTTAGGTTGTCAGTGCAACTCCTTACTGCTAAGCCACCAGAGCTCCTTATAACATAACTACCTAATCAAAAATTATTATGGAATAAATGAGAGAAATGTGCCATTTTTCCAAACCAAATTAAAACTTGGAAGATGATATACCCAATAATACCTTATTAAATATAACCTTCAACACCTAACTAGTATCTGATTAGATATATATAACTTTTAAAACTGAAATGGAATAAATGCATCTATTTTTGATAGATTGCTAATGAGTGTAGAATAAACGGAACTGTTGGCATAGCTTTGAATGGAGGCAAAAGCGACAGAGTTATCTTTGTTTCTTTATATTCAGTTTTTAAAACGTTACCACAAATGTGTGTACTTGGCTGCACAGAAGAGATCTTCCGGAATGAACACTGTACTCATTCATAATTTGGATGTGGCATGTTGGATAAGACTGAAGACTGTGGTGGAAGTGAAGCCAGATATGAATATGCATAATGCAGTGCTTTGAGCCTCCATCAACTGTTCATTGTGAAGGCTTCAGTAAGGGCCATCCTTGCAACCTGAGGCCTACAAAGGCATACTTATGGCTAGGATGGCTTAGTGTCATTCTGATTTTTCATTTAATAGGAATCTACTCTTGAGAAGCCTATCGAGTCACTTTTGAATGGAAACTTTGGCTGATTGCATTATGTATCTTACACAAACATTCTCTCAATGGGACATGTCTATAATCATTGATAAACCAATATGTGTATGCTAGTTGTGTTTAATTTTGACTTCTATATCATGGACATGTTCAGAAAGAAATTTTACTGTCAATTCTGCAGGTAATTATTGCATGATAATCCATATTTCTCATACTTCTTATAGCACAATACTGCTTCTGTTAGGTTTGATTTTACTGTTTCTTAATTTCTCAATGTTTTGTGCCAGTGAAAACCTTTTTTATTTAGTCCTAATGCCTGAAGTCTGTCAGTATGAAAGGATATGTTGTTGTTGTTCTTGATTGCCATCGAGTCAAGCACAACCCATAGCGACCCTATGAACTAAAGAGCTGAAGCCTTTCTAGAACTATCGTTTCTCAAAGATCAAGTTTCCAGAGGCATGTTGTTTAGGATGTGGATGCCACTCCTGCTTCCAAAGGAAAGGTTAAAATAGTGATAAAAGAAAGAATTAAAAAACTCATTTTGCTTTTCAACTCTTTTTATTATCTAGTGGAAATATATTCTGAAGCTCTTTTTTGGTCTTACCTCAGTGACACTGCAGGCAAAGTGCTCTGGGAAGCCTTACTGAACACCAAACACAAGGAGGCAGTGATGGAGGTGCGGAGACATCTAGTGGAAGCTGCGAGCAGAGAAAACCTGCCAATCAAGATGAGTATGGGTAAGCCTACTGTAGCTGGGATGGGCCACGCTTGCACGTGCTGAGCATGTTGGCTTAAGACTTCTTAGAACTGTAGGTCCTCAGCCCAAGTATTGAGCAGTTAGCAACTGTGGAAAGACTTGCTTAAACTCAGCTTTGGGAATTCTAAGAGTCCCTTTTTTTTTTAATGGATTTAGAAATATCAATATTTGTCTGGGCCAACTTTATTTTAGTCTCCTCTCTCCTTTTAAAAAATTACTCCCAAGGAGCTCTGGTGGCCTAGTGACAGGACGCTGCACTGCAATCCCAGAGGTATGCAGTTCAAATCCACCAGATGCTCTGCTGGAGAAGGAGGGGGCAATCTCCTCCTGTACCAGTCAGATCTGATTTGACGGTACACGTAAAAATAATACAATAAAAACAAACAAACAAATTACTCCCCTTCGCTATTGTGGTTCTGGAAGAAGTTTCTTTTATTAGTTTAGAATTAATGAATGAATTAATGGAAAAGCAGGTGAGTAGTTAAGGCGGCACTGGCCTGGCTTTTCACTATTTAAACGGTTTATTAATTAATTGTTCAGTGCCATAATTGTTAGCACTTCTTTACTATGGAACACCGGACCTCATTTTTCTCACCTGGCAGCAAGGGAATTTAAGTTCTAAGTGGCTTGTTGACAAAGTGACTGCAGCGGTATATACTTAGCAGAGATTGTGAGGATGATGCAGGATAAACAAGATTGTTATTGATTAAAGATGCTATGATTTGGAGTTAACTCAGTGGCACCTAACAAGTTAATAATGGTACTTAAAACTTGGATTCTTACTTAGGCTCCATTCTTAGCAAAGAATGAAATTTCACTGGCTGGGAAATTTTTTTCATTGCTAAGATTTGTGAAATTCTGATGGCCTAGTAAGTAAGACGTTGTGCTGCTAACCTAAAAGTACACAGTTCTAATCCATCAGATGCTTCATGGGAGAAAGATGAACAATCTCTCATGCAATTTACAGCTTATGAAAACCCCCTCAAGGAATCCCACTTTATAGCACATAACAAAAAGATTTGTAAACCAAGTTTTTGATTACTTATGGTGAAAAAAAAAGAAAATTAAAGTGGAAGAACACAATTATTCTAAGTTTAAAAACTGTAGGTGAACCTTGGAGGAAAAAAAGCTACAGGATCATAATGTTGAGGGGGGATCACAACTTTTAATATGAGGTATTTAAGAAATCCACTGTTAGTGAAAAAATGAAAATAACTAACATTTACTGTTTATCATTTCCCAGACATTCTGACTCTTCTCATGCTGTATCTTCACTGTCATTCCATCAGACAAATGACTTTAAAATGAAACGCAAAACAGAATCAACCAAACCATCTCATGACTGTTGAGATGATTCTGACTCATGACAGCGTTTTACCAGTCAGAGCAGAACTACTTCATTGTGGGGGTCTGGGGTTGGGGAGGATAGCTGTGGTGGGAATCTGCTTTCCTTACAACAAATATTGTTAGATGCTTTTTTCTTGTAGTGCCACTGCTTAGGTTTGAACTGGCAATGCTGAAGTTAGTAATTGAGTGCAAATGGTCATGATCCCCCCTGTGTTTTTTTTTAAGGTCATTTAATTGAAGCAGAAAGAAGTAAGTTATCTAAAGCCATACATCTGATAGGAGGAATGTTGGAATTCAAATACAGGCATTCTGGTGCTAGAGACTAGGTTTTGAGTTATATATGAAACATCCTAATAATACAAACGACCCCTAAGTCCTACCTATGTTTTGTCTGGTAAAAATAAAGCTGTTGCCTTCAGACCAGTCTCACATTTCATTTGACTGTTTATTCCAGTTGCTTTTCTTTTTTGATTTCTACTCTGCTTAAGTACAGCCTGGAGCGATGGTGAACTCTGGTGGCCTAGTGGTAACAAGTTGTGTTGCAATCCGAAAGGCATGCAATACAGGAGAAGGGTAGGCAGTCTCCTCCTGTACCATTTACTGCCTCTGAAAATGCACTGGAGGGTCAGCTTTGAGTGGCACCTAATAATAACAACATCAATAACAATCATGCTTACCGTACAAATTTCTTGTTCTTAAGTGTGTTGAAAGTGATGAAGACTTGAAACACTTGTTGCAGAAGATCAAGGAAAACAGCCTTCAGTATGCATGGCATTTCAATGTCAAGAAAACAAAGATTCTTAACCACTGGACCAATAGGCAGCATCATGATAAACAGAGAGGAGACTAAAACTGTCAACAGCTTCATCTTACTTGGATCCACAATTAACCCTTGGCACAAGCAGTCAGGAAATAAGGAAATGCATTGCACTGGGAAAATCTGCAGTTAGGGACCTTGCCAAATTATTGAGGAGCAATGATGTCAGTTTAAGGACTAAGGTGCATCTGATTCAGGACATAGTCTTTTCGATCACTTGCTAAGCACCTGAGACATGGACAATGAGTAAGTATGACAGAAAAGGAATTAGTGTCTTTGAGTTGTGCAGTTGGAGAAGAGCACTGAACAGCCCATTGATAGCCAAGAGAACAAGCAGATATGTCTTGGAGAGGGTGTAGCTGGAGTGTTCTTTGGAGGCTTTGCCTCACATACTTTGGGCATGTTGCTAGAAGGGACTATTCCTGGGAGAGGGACATGATACTGGGAAGGGTGGAGGATCGGTGAAGAAGAGGAAGACCCTCCAGCAGGTGGATTGACACTGACTGCTGCAATGGGCTCTTGTGTGTCAGGAAGTGTGAGGATGGTGCAGGACAGAACAGGGTTCAGATCTTTTGTTCATAGGGTCGCTATGAGTCATACTCAATTTGACGGCACCTAACAACAACAAGAACAGTAAGTTTTTAAAACAAGAAAGAATTCATATTAGGAATCAAGACAAGTAGGACTCTATCAAGGGTCTTGATGAGAAGGTTAATTTATGTTATGTTTCCATGATGTAACCTTATGATGCTATTGTAGAGCATTAATCATTTTTTATTGCTCAATGCTGGACTTGAAAGATCAACACACTTTAGTTTTTTAAAAGGCTATATATTTTTAAAAAGTAATCAGAGCTAGTAAAAAAAAATAAGTACTCCAAGGGGAATTAATATTTTAAAATGTTTGGCTTTTCTATTGAAAAATAAAAAAATAGAGATAAAATGGTTTGCTTTGTCCCCAAAGTCCAGACATTGAAAGAGGTGGTGTGGTTGGGGGAAGGTGCGGGGGGTGGGGGGGAAAGAAGGAAACAGCAAATTTTGTTGCAATAAAAACCAAAAATATTGGTCCAAAACATAGTCTGTGCCAAGTAGAGTTTAGTAAATGATAACACTGTATCTTTTCAATTTAGATAACATAGAGAGCCCATTTCTGCCTTATCACTAGATAGGATTTCTGGAGGGCCTCATTTCTACATTCCAACAAATACATAGCTATGAACAGTAAGGAAAGGAGCTGGAACTGAAACATCATAAAACAGTGATATTTGCAGATGGCCTAAAATACTGGTTATCATAAAATAAGTTGTGCTCTGGTATTCTAGATGCCTGGGATTCTTGTTCTAGCAGCATTAGAACTATGAAATGTCCTTTAAATCATACACTGATCTTACAGTCCTTGTAAATTTTACTGAAGTATACATTTTTTCCAAATTAAGATAGAGGCTTCTGGTACTTTTGAGATATTAAACTGAGCTTAAATGTTCTAATATTTAAATTCACTTAGAAAGACCCATGATTGAAACCCCAAATCTCCAATATAAATTTTCTAAGTGCAAAGTAGGCTCATAGTAAAACATTACAAGCACAAAGAGAAATAAACATTCACTTAAGAGAAGAAAGTTTAATTGCTGAAACAAACGAAAAAAAATTACCATTTTACATATAAACATATGCCATCTTCCCTAGAGTTTGTTGTTAGATTGCCAGTTAATGAAACATATGTGTTCCAGAAACTTGATTTTTGAAATAGCATAGATGGAGCTGTCTGTCTCCCACTGACTATCATCATAAATTCTGAAAGTAAAAGCAAATTAAAAACAAAACACAAAGCCAGTTACCATCAAGTTGGTTCTGACATCCCTCCTTGTGCTTCAGAGAACATCATTCCATTAACATTTTCTTTTTCTTTCCCCATTTAAATAGAATTAGATGTGGTTGTTATATTCATAGCTATGAACAGTAAGGAAAGGGGCTGGAACTGAAACATAAAACTGATATTTGCAGGTGGTCTGACATATAGCTTATCATAAAAGAAGTTGTGCTCTGATATTCTAGGTGCCTGGCATTCTTTTTCATCACAATCTAAAATTAAAACGTTTTTGTTTGTTTGTTTTTGGTCCCCTGAAAAAGACACCTGATAACTATTCACAAGTATTCTGAATCCCCACCTCACCACCCTACCACTGCCCCCAAACTAAACAGGGCTTTCAATGATTGTGTTTTTGGAAGACAGCTGTGTTCATTGCTATACCACCAATGCCTGATTGGGTTTTTGGAAGTAGATTTCCCAGCCTTCTTTTGTTTTGCCTCTGAGTGGACTTGAACTTCCAACCTTCTGGTCAGTAGTTGAACAGTTAATCATTTGTGTCAGACAGGGACAAAAAGCAAGCAAATCCCATTGTAGTCAAGTCAATTCTGACTCATAAGGACTCTGCAGGGTGAAGCAGCCTACCCTAGATGTCGTCCAAGGCTATGATCTTTATGATAGCAGATCTCTTTTTCCTATGGAGTGTTTGGTAGGATTGAATTGCTGAACTTTTGATTATGTGTAACCACTCTGTCTGAAACTCATCTCAGCTCAGCTTAACTCAACTCACCTCACCTCAACTCAACTAAGTTCAGTTCCACTCCGCTCCGCTCTGCTCATTGCTTTCCTGTCAGAACCAACCAATGTAACACTTGACTCTATAGTAAGTCTTCTGAGGCTGTAAACCACAGGGAGGAGATTTCCCCTCTTTTCCCTGCAGAGCATTTGGTGGATTTCAACCATATGCCTTGTGAGTTGGCCGTGCGGCTCCTTATGACTGAGCCACCAGA